TGGGTAACGACGACGGTTTCTCAGATTTGGAGTGCCTCTTGAGCTCAAATTCTCATCGGAATCCATAGTGAGTTTAACGGGCTTGCTTATACCATGCTTGTTTTCTGAAGTTCTGTGGTGATAACTTTTGTATTTCGTTCATTTTAGATCCAAATGTTCGTGGAAATCCCGAAAAGACGGTAACAGAGGAAATAGTATGGGGAATTCGCAACAAACGAGGAAGAGAGGTAAGGTTCTTCAAGTTCAGGTCGATTAGGCAGCTTATTTGACGTCTCATTTGCAGGAATGGAAAAAAAAATACTTATAACTGTAAAATATATATATATATACATGGTTCATCTGTTTCTGGTAATTATTGAGAATTTTGTTGTAAGTAGTAGGTGTTATATGTTCTATGTGTGTTTATTTTGGTTATATCAAGTAGTGTCCAGCATTGCTGTCATAGATCTGTCTAATATTTGTTCATGATTCATTAATTAATCTAAAAAAAATACAGAATTATAATAACTTTTCAATTTTGATAGTCAGATGGTAAATTCACATGACACACTAGACCGTATTCTCACTCATTCATATTTGCCTAAGTTTGAACCCATTATCATTATTATCACTATTTATAACAATTTCCCCAAATAAGTTTATGAGGTGTACGATTGATGTTTCATTGTGTGTAGGTACTACTCGTAAGACGACCGGCATCGTACCTGAACGTAATGGTGAAGGCGGTACGCAGAATGATGAAAGAGGTAGACTATAATGTTCTGTATGTTGTATGTTGTGTTTAGTCCGTTGCACTTTATAGCTTTAAGTGTAGATATATATGTATTATCAGTATATAGTGCATTTTGTGCTTTGACTTATGTTGTATCATTTCTAATATTTATTATCTCTTGTTAGTGACCCGACGTCGGACAAGATTGCCCCCTGTACGGCAAAGGGCCACGTACAAGAAGTCTGATAAGTCACGAGAAGGTAATTGTCTATGAAATACTTATATCTATATTATAAAGTCAGTCTGTTTTAGTATTTTATTAGTGTTGTTTGCTTTCATGCGAGTATTTTCAACCATTGTGTGTTGTAAATTTCCAGTGTCAGAGAGCGCTATCGCTACACCGGAACGTGCCAGTGTTCGCTTGAAGCGATTGAAACTTGGTGCGCGCACACCGAGCCAATCTGATAACGACGATTTTGTTGACGATGTACCCCTGGCAGATATTACAGCAAAATGTAATGTCACTCCTCGCTCTACAAGACTGTCGTTAGTACAACAAGGTGACGACTCCACAAAGCACAATAACCCACAAGAAGGTAAGTATTTATGGAGTATTAATATCCACATTATAAATTTAGTCTACATTATTAATGATCTTTCGATTTATATGCGCGTTCTGAACACTTCTGTGATGTACAGATCCGACCTTGGATAGAATGATCGAGGAACTAGAACGTGATGCACCAGAACGTGCTGGTGACACTTTGAAACATTCGGAGGTTGGTGCACGCAAATTGAGTCAGCCTGTTAGTGATGACGTCCTTGATGATGTACCTCTGGCAGAACTTGCAAAAAGACGATATGGTACTGGACATCTGCCCTTATTACAGAAAGGCGACACGACCAGGAATCATGCTAACACAAAGGACGGTAATTACTTACTAACTAATGAAATTGATATTCTAAGGTAGTCTTTATTATTAACGCCCTTGTGTTTCATATGTGTATTTATAAATCCAGTGTCAAATGGAACTCTTAACGAACCAGAACGAGTTGGTGACGATGTCCTTGACGATGTACCTCTGTCAGAACTTGCAAAAAAAACGATACGGTGCTCGACATAGCACAAGACTTCCCTTATTACAACGACGCGACACGTCCATGAATCATAATAACAAACAAGATGGTAATCAGTTATGAACTAATGAAATTGTTAGTCTAATGTTAGTCTATTTTATTAACGATCTTTGTGCTTATATGCGTGATATGACACAGGGTCAAAGAGACCTCTCAATGAACCAGAACGTGTCGGTGACAATTCGAAGCCCAAGCGTTCGAAATGTGATGCACGTAAACCAAGCCAAACTGATAGTGATGATCTTGTTGATGATATGTCCCGACGCTGCCTGGCAGAAATCACAAAAAATCAAAATGGTAAGTGCCTGCCTTTGTGTGGAAAATTGTATGTATATATATACACATATGGATTTATATGTATATTATCGTCTTTGTCTGATATTTTGCAGTTAAGGGTAAAAATAAAACGCCTGATATCGATATTATAGTCGAGCACGATGTGGACGAGGCTGATGATATTGTTGTAGAAAACAATGATGACGATGTGTTACCGAGAGTGACTACAAGGTCTTCAGCTGCTATGTTTGTGAAGGCGATATCCAACCTTTCAGACGTTAAGAAGAACGCTGTGCGTGATATGGGGTTCGGGTGCTTGTTGGAGTTGAGCATAACAACAACACCATCAAAGATGGATTTTGGTTAGTGGAAAATTTTAACCACATGGACCGGAAGCTCCAGTTGTATGACGGAGAGAAGGTACACGTTAAGGAAGACGATATGTATGCTGTGTTTGGGTTGCCTCGTGGAGAGGTTGAGATTAAGAATAAACAAAAGAGAGTTACATCTAACCTGCTGGATGAGTGGATTGCACTATTCGGCGTCAGAAAACCGTCGAACATTACAGCGTCGAAGGTGTTGGATAAATTGAACGAATGTGTGGATGGTGGCGACTGGTTCAGACGTCATTTCATCTTCCTCATAGTGACCTGCTTATTTGAGAGTTGTCTAAACGGAATGGCGAATTTCCGTTTAGTCCACATGCTGGACGATTTATCCGTGGTTAGCAAGATGAATTGGTGCGCATACATGATCCGATGTTTAGTTGACACGAAGCGGATGTGGGATTCAATTGGTACACAGAAGAAGTATGTAGGGCCTCTGTTGTTCTTGACGGTCAGTGGACGTGCTTCTATTTTATTCCTTTTGTTTCATTGTTCCCCTCCCCCTGCGTTTTCCATATTTGTTTCTGTGTTTTACGTGTTTGTATGCAGTCGTGCCAATAAATCTTTTATATGTTTGTTTGTGTCTGAGACAGCTATTCTACGTAGACAAGGTTGTACTGTCGGTGAGATCGGTCCCACGAACGTTCCCTGTATTCAAATCATGAAGCATCGAGGCTTTAAGAGCTAGAAAACGCGACGAGATTTCTTCAGGAGCTTTTGGTAGAGGGTTCGTGGATGTAGATTTCTGTATGATTGTCGATAATCGCCGGCTGGATAAAGTAGAACCGAAACACGATGGCGATGTTGCTAGTGTCACTGAGGACCGCGACTTACAGGTCGACCGTGATTTACTATCTACTATCTGTTTGATTTTTTTTTAAAAAAAATATATATATGTATCGGAATATTAGATGCGTATTAGCTTTTGATGTGATATGCTTACATGTCGTTCTTTTTTTGTTTGTCTTTTATTTTTTCTCCGATTGCATTCCCTTTTTACACACAATCGTCATGTTTTGTTTTGTTTTTTTTTTCCCCCGCAGTAATTGTTTTATAAAGTATATAATGTGCGTCTTTTTATTTTCAAATGTGTGTTGTGAGATTCTTAAATGTGCACAATCAGACATATGTAGATGGCGGTTTAATACGTGATTTCCGAATTTTGTACGAAGGTTACTATTTGCTTTCATATTGAAATGTCCATTATTTTTTGTTGTTTAATATTTGTTATGTCCACAGATTGAATATTGTGCATTGTCCTTGCATATTTGTTCCATCTGACAGAGTTAGTGGGTACGAATGTTACGATTTGTTTTTATATTGAAAGGCCATTCTACATTGTTACCCATCTTTTGTGTCTTTCGATACTTGTTATTGTTAACTTCTTGTGTCATTTTGTGTCTTTCGATACTTGTTATTGTTAACTTCTTGTGTCGGATGTCTTAATTCCCCTATTTTTGTAGTTCAAGAATAAAGAGTGCATTATATGATGTTCATCTGTGCATTACAATTGACATAAGTGTGCATTAACACATATTGATTTAATATGTACTTTGACAGGCGTATGTTCAGGAGTTTGCATCTAAAACTCGACTTCTTGCCACTACGGGAATTCAAATATTACAATTGGTCGAAAAGGCACCACAAGTTCTTTTGGGAGATGGGAACTTCGCGAAAATGCATGATGCGGCTCAGAAGATACTTGGTGTGCATAGTGAGGTGCCACGTGTTAAACCCTACCATCCCGGTCCAAGTCAACATCGCGACACATGTACAGAAAAAAAAGACGTATCGAAGGACTACGTGAAGGGCGTCGTATCACAGCTAGCTGATGACGTGTTCTGGAATGATCCTGACACATTAGTGATGATAGATGAGATTATGAAAGCGGTTGAAGAGCAGGATCGCTTCATGAGAATGCAACGTGACGTCCCTAGCTTCAGCTTGGGCTTATCTTCAGATGACGATGCCGGCGATGTTGCTGAACGTCAACATACGAGTGACAATGTATTTAAACAGCCGGGTGGGATGCAACCTGAAGTTGACGTGCAAAAATGTACGTGAATCAAACTGTGATTACATAAATGTAGTTATCTTGTTTGTTCAAGGTGTGTTTGGTTATATACATATATATATATTTTCTATATTGGTTGCGTTGTTTGAATATGTTTGTTCAATTATGAAGTGGTCCTCGGTTTATCTGATAAGACGACTAGGACATTTGACAAGACACCGACTATTGAAGTTTCTGGCTTGGTCCCTGATCAGTGCGTTACTACAGGTATATCAGTGATACGTGGCACTATTTATGTAATAATTGTAGTTATTGATATTTTGGTCATGCTGATTCACACACATGCTGATTTTTGTTTCAGAAGAGACTGGAGAGGCTGGTGATGCTGACAGGTCACCGAGGTCGAAAAGGCATGTCAATGAAACAAGTGCAGCCAAGTCTCCTTATATCGAGAGGACAATTGACGTGAATAAGAAACTCGACGGACACGAGAGAACAATCGCTAATTGGACATTAAAGAATGATGTCAATGATGAGTACGTTGTCTTTTTTTTTTTCTGTTTTTCTCTCATTACAACATATTAAATTTTTTGGGTGATTTTATAATTATGTTTGTTTGTGTATTATTCTAAGCTTAATTCCTACGCGTTTTTTCTTTATCACGAATGCATGGTTACACATGCGTTCAGCGGCGTCATCCTTTTTCGACAGTCCAAATATTCCGTGAAGAAGCACGAAGTTTCATGTTTGCTTCCAAATCTCCCCATTTCAAAAGAAGTGTTGGACGTGTGGTCATGCATTTTGAACTATAATGAGAAGTTGAAAAGTCGTGGCTCACCGTCATGCTTTTATGCATCTACATCTCCATGCGATGAGATATGTTATTGTTCATTAGCATAGTATCTTAAATGTTTTTTCATTCGTGAACATGACATGTTCGTTTTGTACTTTTGGCATGGTCATTTACAGTTATTTTACGTCGGTAAATGGAGGAAAGACTCGATTTATAAGAAGTTCGCTCAAACATTAGATTCTGAAATCGCACGAATGTCCAGCTACAAATTAAACAAGATATCGATGGTAAGTGAACACTTGTTAACACTAGCTATATTTATTTTGTGTGTTTATGTGTGTGTGTGTGTGTGTGTGTTCTGTTCGTTTCTTTATTTTTTTTTAGTTACGGACGATATGTGTTATGGGACTAATTAATAGATTTTTTTTTTTTTTATAGATTAATGCGTGTGCTTAATTTTTTATTTATTATTATTTTTTTATATTTACGTCTACAGTTTCTGTTTCCTGTTCACTCCGTGGATTTCTCGGGCTTATTGTGCATGGCGCCGGATTTGCTGAAGCTCGGTATTCTGAATAGCGCTGGTTCTTCTATCGATGACGGTGTGAAAAAAGTGCTCATGTCTCGTGTCATGCTGTTGGTATGGCTATTAAAACTACTTACTATCGGTGCATTTACATTAGTTCGATTATTGTGCTATTAACAATATTTTCATTGTTTTCCCCGCAGAAGCAGTCGCTTTCAAAGTATCTAGGTGAGAATCACATGGCGAGGAGATCTAAATCAGTCGCATTGTCTGTTCCCAATGTCATCAATGCACCCTGGACCGAGGGAGTCGATGAGGCAGATGTTGGTGTGATCACGATGCGTCATCTGGAGACATTCTTCAAAGGCGGATTTTCTAAAGGCTGGACTCCACAGATTAAGAGAGGAGACAAGGAACAGTTGAAGTTAATGAGGAAGAGGTATAGTTGTGTCATAACATGCGCACCGAACAATGAGCTAAAGGAAACAAATCTCGTGGCGGCTAATAAATATCGTCCGTTGTATTTGGAGATGAAGCGCAAGTCGGCGTGATTGACGGTTGAAATGTGTACGTGTATATTCCTTTTGGTGGATTAGTACTTGATAACATTTTGTGCCTTGATGACATGTTGCGGCATGAATGGTCGTTACTTGGTTATTTTGTGGATGACTTGTGGATCAATTTTATGGATTTCATGAATCTTTTGCGAATGGTTTGTGGATCGGTTTCATGGGTGTTCATATAAATATAGTGCATCTATTTCATATGTAATGTGCATATTTAAAGTCATCGATGTGCATTTTAATATTAGTGTAAACGTTGATTTTATATTGTCCTACGAAATTATATGTAGTGTGCGAGTATGGCAATTGTATCGTGCAGTGTCATTATAGTATTGTGCAACTTGACAGGAGAAATTAGTTTTCTCAGCTAAAAATTGTACAATAATGTGGCTTAAGGTCTGGAATGCATATGTATATTGTGCATTTCACTTTTCAAACGTGTGCAATTCACACAACTTCAACGTGACATAAAGTGCACGTTCATTTTTTATTATTACTATTTTTTTAATTTTTTGTCCGTTTGTTATATTGATCTGAATACAACCCATTGCACGATATATGAGTTACAATGTACAATAGCGTTGTACGAACTTATCTAATATCGATATTGTATATTATCATATATAATATACGCCAAAGAGATTTAAAGTGCAACAGAGTTACATATAATGTGCGTTTTAGCAATACATTGTGTGCAATCTGTCAACTACGGTGCAGTGCACATCATCCTCGATCTGGAACTTTGTTTGTTTCTAATTTATATTAATAATCGAATCACATGTATTAAAAATACGTTGTGTCTGATACCACGTTTGAAATATATGCATGTGACATATTATCATATATAATATACGCCAAAGAGATTTAAAGTGCAACAGAGTTACATATAATGTGCGTTTTAGCAATACATTGTGTGCAATCTGTCAACGACGGTGCAGTGCACATCATCCTCGATCTGAAACTTTGTTTGTTTCTAATTTATATTAATAAACGAATCACATGTATAAAAAATACGATGTGTCTGATACCACGTTTGAAATATATGCATGTGACGACAATACATAACCAATGTCCGTAAAAATTGACACTAAATACGAAATCAGTCTGAGATATAAACAAATATAAACGGAGTCAATGCAGGAATCAATGCGTCGCACTCCGTCCGAGATATCTACCATCTTGGCTCCTGCATTTTTTTTTAAAACTTGTGTAACTTAGTATGCAACACCGACGTTTATATATGAGGAGATGTGTGTGTGCATGTGAAACAAAAAAACCCCACCAGTATCATTATCCTAACACATAACATCAAATGAATATGTACCTGAACATTTTAATCCCGACATAATACTTCCCGCACTCAACAGTGATTCTGCAATTATAATAACAAATACAAATAGTTTAAACTTCCAAGGGTAAATGTAATATTAATACATACAGTAGTACACTCAAAGTTATAACATGCTTGTATTTACCTCTGGTAGTTGTTTTTTAGGACATGTCCGCATATTGTGACCCGTCCTCTCGCCACATGACTTGCAAAGTCTTCGTTTTTTCTGAGATTTCTCAATTGATTTCTCCTTGGCAGATTTAATCCTTTTCCCACTACCTTTGTTTTTTAACTGCATTGGAGGAAGTATGCTTATTGTTTGTGGGGCGGGCATGCCAACAAATGAATCAAACCTCCGTGCTTTGTCAGTGCTTGTCGTATCACCTTCCAGGAGTTTGCGTTTTTGTTCTCCAATAATGGTGCAGAACTCGACCAGTCGGTCCGTATGCATCTCAGCCAATCCCATGCATATGTGAATGTCAGACCACAACTTATTAACAAGTATCTTGTTTTCATCTTGACGCGCGCATTGCTCGGAAATGTTATCGAGTATGCGGAACATGGGGTTACTAAAAGCGAGTTTTGTCCACCGTGACATGATGTGATCAGGTGGTATTGCCTCTATGTTTAAGTCCTTAAGCACGACAAAAATATGTCTACACAACCATCCATAGATCTCAAAGTGTTTGCACGAGCATTCTGATGTACTAAGGACGACGTCATGTACTACTGTAAACGTTTTCCCATCAATGTCTTTGATAACAAATGTCATGTGGCTACCATTATCAGAAACCTGCATAACCCTACATTTGTAGCACGCATCACAAATCTCATTTTGAACACGATAGAATATTGTTGTCGTATACACTTGCAGGGCTGACTTTTCAACCGATAGAGGTGTTTTTAAATCAGCCATATGAGTTTCACTATCACACTGTAGTTTCATTGACGTGTTACGTTGTGCATCCATTGCACTGTCAAAATGCAACAGGAACTCCACCAAACTAGAACGATTATTAGTGAAACTGCTAAACCAATTGTTCTCGCTTTCCGACCTAGACGTAGTCCTCATCAGCCCACTCATTCTCATATCCCTAAAATATGCTGGTATCCAATGCCCTCTCTTGGCAAACATATCAATAAACCAACTATGTGATTCCAACGAATATTCGTGCATTATAGCAGCCTATTTAGAATCAAATTCAGCAGGTTCTATGTTTCGAGACCAGACAATTTCGTTCAACCTCTGTTTGAAATCGATTGGTTAAGGAATGGTCAACCTTATCACACAGTTTATTCATTATATGCCACGTGCAAAATCGGTGTTTGTGCTAGTGAATACCTTGGCGAAAGCAATTCCAATCGAGGGATCTTGGTCAGTGATTATATAGTTGGGCTCCTGAATCATGGCATTTTTTAAGTTCTCCAACACCCATACGTATGAATTCACGTCCTCTTTTGATATCAAAGCAGCTGCAAATGTTACGCACCTGTTATGGTTGTCTATCCCTGTGAAAGGTGCAAATATCTTATTGTACCTACAAGACATAAGTTTAATAAGTATCAGTATGTTGTGGTTGTATCGATTGTAGACATCGAAGATTTAGCATATTTTATGTTCTTTTTTTCTTTTTTTTTTTATTTTTTTTTTATTGGCGGGTATTACGTTGTCCATATATACTGTGCATATATTCCAATGTAATGTGCAGTATTAAATGCACTGATGTGCACTTTATTAATGATGCGAATAAGTTGCAATGTATCTGTACATGAGAAAACACACTGACCTGTTGGTGCCATAAGTTGCATCAAATGATACAACATCCCCGAACGAGCCATAATTTCGTCTTGATATCGGATCAGCCCAGAAAAGTCTCCGCAGGCGCTCACTTTCATCAACCTCATATTGAAAATAAAAGGCGGAACTATTCTCCTGACGCTTATAAAATTTGTCTACAACCATCTGAGCATCGGTTCCTGAGATGTATGCAAGAAGTTCCCTCTTGAAGTTTTTGAAGTCTACATCGGTGGCGCCAATATTCGAATAACCCCCAACCATCTCTTTGTGCAGCTTGTACGATCTACTAGTCCCAATATTGGCTTTTAAGCAATTGAGAACAAAGCCTTGATGTGCCGCAGTCATAGTACGATTGATCTTCAGGTGAGCTCTACATTCTCCTGGGACCATGGCATGGTTATG